GTTAAACACTTTTTTATCGTCCGGAATAGGCATTCCGATTGCTATCATTGCAGCAAGAATATGATAACATCTTGAAGTTGATGGACATGAACACGACTCCTTAGGAAAAAGTGTCACTGAATATTTATTATCTTTGTTGCCTCGAACCATAAACGCTCCCATTTCAGGAACAAGAACTATCCCTTGTTCAGCTATAGTTTTGACCGCTAAAGATTTTTGAGAATTCACACCTTTTTTGGGAATTTTTTCCACAGTTGGATCATTGTCATGTGAGTCGGAGTTATAGTTCATTTGGTTAGTTGTTTGTGTTACAGCACTTATTTCACCTTTTACCATTTCAATCATTTTATCGGGATGACAAACATTTTTCGGTAAAACAATGGTATCTGGATCTCGTTTATTTCGTCAGCGTTTTCCTTCTATATCTATATCGTCCGCTTTTTCACTATATGTCTATATTGTCCGCATTTTCAGTAGCCACTTTATTAATTGTACAAGGGTGAGATGTATGATTAATTGAAATATACAAGTGTCGGTGCGTGATTAAGTCAAATACACAGGTGACACGTGGATACTTTAATTAGTTGATTGGTATTTATATCAGACATTTTCTTTTATTAACTTAATGGATAAAATATAAATAAAACATAAAAATATTATGAATTAAAGAAAGTTAATTGATATAAATTAATTATATACATTGTAGGAGTCAGATATTTTTTTATTAATAACAGTTTTCTATTCTCCCGTTCTATACATTTATTTCGTCAGCGTTTTCCTTCTATATCTATATCGTCCGCTTTTTCACTATATGTCTATATTGTCCGCATTTTCAGTAGCCACTTTATTAATTGTACAAGGGTGAGATGTATGATTAATTGAAATATACAAGTGTCGGTGCGTGATTAAGTCAAATACACAGGTGACACGTGGATACTTTAATTAGTTGATTGGTATTTATATCAGATATTTTCTTTTATTAACTTAATGGATAAAATATAAATAAAACATAAAAATATTATGAATTAAAGAAAGTTAATTGATATAAATTAATTATATACATTGTAGGAGTCAGATATTTTTTTATTAATAACAGTTTTCTATTCTCCCGTTCTATACATTTATTTCGTCAGCGTTTTCCTTCTATATCTATATCGTCCGCTTTTTCACTATATGTCTATATTGTCCGCATTTTCTGTAGCCACTTTATTAATTGTACAAGGGTGAGATGTATGATTAATTGAAATATACAAGTGTCGGTGCGTGATTAAGTCAAATACACAGGTGACACGTGGATACTTTAATTAGTTGATTGGTATTTATATCAGACATTTTCTTTTATTAACTTAATGGATAAAATATAAATAAACATAAAAATATTATGAATTAAAGAAAGTTAATTGATATAAATTAATTATATACATTGTAGGAAGTCAGATATTTTTTTTATTAATAACAGTTTTCTATTCTCCCGTTCTATACATTTATTTCGTCAGCGTTTTCCTTCTATATCTATATCGTCCGCTTTTTCACTATATGTCTATATTGTCCGCATTTTCTGTAGCCACTTTATTAATTGTACAAGGGTGAGATGTATGATTAATTGAAATATACAAGTGTCGGTGCGTGATTAAGTCAAATACACAGGTGACACGTGGATACTTTAATTAGTTGATTGGTATTTATATCAGACATTTTCTTTTATTAACTTAATGGATAAAATATAAATAAAACATAAAAATATTATGAATTAAAGAAAGTTAATTGATATAAATTAATTTTATACATTGTAGGAGTCAGATATTTTTTTATTAATAACAGTTTTCTATTCTCCCGTTCTATACATTTATTTCGTCAGCGTTTTCCTTCTATATCTATATCGTCCGCTTTTTCACTATATGTCTATATTGTCCGCATTTTCTGTAGCCACTTTATTAATTGTACAAGGGTGAGATGTATGATTAATTGAAATATACAAGTGTCGGTGCGTGATTAAGTCAAATACACAGGTGACACGTGGATACTTTAATTAGTTGATTGGTATTTATATCAGAAAGTTTCTTTTATTTACTTAATGGATAAAATATAAATAGAACTAAAAATATTATGAATTAAAGAAAGTTAATTGAAAAAAATTAATTATATACATGGTAGAAGCCAGATGTTTTTTTTTATTCATAACAGTTTTCTATTCTCCCGTTCTATACATTTATTTCGTCAGCGTTTTCCTTCTATATCTATATCGTCCGCTTTTTCACTATATGTCTATATTGTCCGCATTTTCTGTAGCCACTTTATTAATTGTACAAGGGTGAGATGTATGATTAATTGAAATATACAAGTGTCGGTGCGTGATTAAGTCAAATACACAGGTGACACGTGGATACTTTAATTAGTTGATTGGTATTTATATCAGACATTTTCTTTTATTAACTTAATGGATAAAATATAAATAAAACATAAAAATATTATGAATTAAAGAAAGTTAATTGATATAAATTAATTATATACATTGTAGGAGTCAGATATTTTTTTATTAATAACAGTTTTCTATTCTCCCGTTCTATACATTTATTTCGTCAGCGTTTTCCTTCTATATCTATATCGTCCGCTTTTTCACTATATGTCTATATTGTCCGCATTTTCTGTAGCCACTTTATTAATTGTACAAGGGTGAGATGTATGATTAATTGAAATATACAAGTGTCGGTGCGTGATTAAGTCAAATACACAGGTGACACGTGGATACTTTAATTAGTTGATTGGTATTTATATCAGAAAGTTTCTTTTATTTACTTAATGGATAAAATATAAATAGAACTAAAAATATTATGAATTAAAGAAAGTTAATTGAAAAAAATTAATTATATACATGGTAGAAGCCAGATGTTTTTTTTTATTCATAACAGTTTTCTATTCTCCCGTTCTATACATTTATTTCGTCAGCGTTTTCCCTCATTATCTATATCGTCCGCTTTTTCACTATATGTCTATATTGTCCGCGTTTTCTATTTCGACTTTGATGAAATATGGTATAAAGAATCATGTGTATGATTAAATTAAACACGTGCAGGATTATACAAGTGACACGTGGACACTTTATTTAAATAAAAAAAATGGAATCAGTATATACATAAATATATAATTTATACATTTCTTACTGTTTTATTGTCTGGTAGAACATAACATGATTGTTCATATATTATTCAGGTTGATAAAGATTACAAAGGGGGATATCATTGATATGAACTTACCGAAAAATATGGAGCAACTTCAAAAATGTCCTCTTCGAAACAAAACTGGCGTGTTTTATATCCAGGATAGGGAAAACACACTGTACGAATGTTGACACAAATAATCACTCATATATTTTACTTGACTGTGTCCTACAACGAATGCCATTTTAACAATGCCTTAGTGAAAACACTTTATACAATATTTTACACAATTACACTTTAAAAGTTAAAGAACACAATAATTTAATAATCCAATTCAAATTAACACTTTGTAAGCAATGGAATGAATTCAAAGCATGTAACTTTTTTTTTTGGAAATGAGGGATGTGCACAAAAATTGACTGTATATATACCTTACCATTAACAGTTTTACCATTAAATAAGTTGCAATTGCAAAGTTGTGAAAAAAAATACAAAAGATCAAAAACATAACGACTGAAATTAATTTCATGATTGGTCCCAATGTTGTTTTTTTCTATATTGTTCTTTGAAATTTATGTCTTAATTGCTCAATATCTAAAGAGCCGACAATTTTAATAATGTGACAAAGTCATTCACACTTAATTGTAATGCTTTAAGTTAATTTGCAACACGTGTATTTTCACCGGTAAACGATAATTTTCAAAAAAATTACTCATTCGCCCACTATTTCATAATTATATATGTACACAAAAGAAGATTCGGCGAATATGTCAATTAATGTGCAATATAGAAACAAAAGTAAATTACAAATCATAGTAAATTGTATATTTTAAAAGAATGTCAATCTACACTATATATCTATATCGTCCGCTTTTTTCCTCTATGTCTATATTGTCAGCGTTTTCCCTATATGTTTATCATGTCCGCGAATTGCGTATGCAAACTGTTCAAATATATTCAAACTAATTCTTGTGCCCTTATTCAGTTTTCCGCACGTGACTGTTGCATGTTTTGTACTGTTTAATTAAAAGTTATTAAGTCAATTAACATGAACAAATAAAAAACATAAATTTAAGAACTTGAACAAATAAATAAACTAAAGTCTTTTTAATTATTATAAGAATTTGAACAAATAAATAAAATAAAGTCTTTTTTAATTATTATAATTAATACATCTTTCAGATATTACTTTATAAAAGCCAATTATTAGCCTTTAATATGAATTTAACTATGCTCAGTCATTTTACACTATATATCTATATTGTCCGCTTTTTTCCTCTTTGTCTATATTGTCAGCGTTTTCCCTATATGTTTATATTGTCCGCTTAAGGCGTCCGCGTTTTAGACTGCGCCGCGGACGAGAGCTGTCAAAAATACCTGAACGTAAAATAAATGAATTCTTTTAGGTATGTTATATTGTAAGGTAAATGTTTGTCCCCACATTTTTTTCAAATCCCCCACATTTTTCAATTGAGTGCGGGACAATCCCACATTTTTCAATTGAGTGCGGGACAATCCCCCATAATTTTGAAATTCTAGATCAATGCAACACTGATCATGTAAGTTGTAACAAAAACATCAATATATAGGACTAGCCTGTAACAGTGTAAGTGTAACGTCTGATATATTTGACTACGAAAACCTGGTACAATGACCATACAAATATTTTTTGTTCAATAAATTGTAACAGAGACCTCATTTTAAAGAAATTAGAAAGTACTTCTTTTGAATTGGGTCGAATCGATTAACGCGCGAATCGTCGCGACGCGGAGGACCACTTTCGTTTTCAACCCGTATAGATTCTACATAGTTTTTATAAAGTAAAAATTTAATTTAACATACCATAAAGAAAGACCGTTGTTAGATAGGATAGATCTCTCGAAGTTTTAGATTTGATTTTTCAAAACTTGTTGCACCGGGTTTGGGTAACTGCTGTAACGTTGCTCCTGTACCGTTCCGTAATTGTATTGTGGTTCCGAGATACTAAATTTTATTGAAAAACGATAAAGTTTATCATGTACCAACATCTGCATAAACTTTTGTTAAGCTTATTTTACCAAAACTAAATATTATCCTAGAAAGTTCCAGTCACTTAAGGGTACCTTAGGGATTTGGCATCAGTCCTCCAGCCCCGCATTTGCAATGAATAATTGTAAATAGCTGCCCCTTACTTTACTTCAGTGTTGTTATATTTTTTCTGGGCCTTCTGGATCATTGATAACAGCACTTTTAACTGCTGGAAATGCAGTACTGCTCAATCCAGTGCTATGGAGGGGGGGGGGGGTTGTGGGGCGTGTTGCACTTTTTCACGTCCCTCATGAATACTCAATTAACCCAAAAAATATAGTGAAACACAGAATCCCTAAAGAAAGTCCATCACTGCATAATAGAAAATGTTGCAGGCTCTGTGTTTTAACCTGTTCATGGATGGTAGTGGTAATTGCAAGCTGCAAGTTTGCAATTTTCATGTAAATTTGATGTGATTAATCCTTCCGAGGGATCATCCTTCTTTCAACTTTTTAGTTTCCTTGCTTTGTGAAACATACACTGATCATTTCAGGCTAAAATAATATGTTTCATATATGAATATAAAAACTAGCTGATTTGAGATAAAAAAAACTTTTTTGGTTTAAAATGTATGCATAACTCTACAATTAAAATGATTCGGACAAAAGAAACAAGATGGCCCTATATCAACCACCTGAGTGGCTCTAAATAACAGAGGACTGATGCTATTTAATAACTATTTTAATAACTATGGATGAAAGACAGGCATTATGTTGAAATCCAGGTCAACTGATATCAAAGTTTAAATCTGCATCTGGTACAGAGCATGTAGTAGAAATATCTGAAATTTCATACACGAAGCTCCAGTAAAATTCAAATCTGCATTTGGAACTTTGCATGAATGACACATATGCCCCCCCTTCTAGTTCTTAACTCACATTATTGGTTAATTTGTTACAGAAACTTGCCATAAATGGGTACATGGAAGTGTTCAGTTACGGAAAAAAGAAAAATATGAAGACTTTGTGATAAATGGTTTTCAAGATAATGAGAAGAAACAATTCTGACATTTAAGGCCCCTGTAACCTTGACCTTTGATCTAGTGACCCCAAAATCTACAGGTTATGATCAATCAGTATGTGAAATATGAAGACTTTGTGATGCATAGTTTTCAAGATAATAAGAGGAAACCATTCTGACATTTAAGGCCCATGTGACCTTGACTTTTGAACTAGTACCCCCAAAAGCAATACGGGTCATCTACTAGTTATGAACAATTACTATGTGAAATATGAAGACTTTGTGATAGTTAGCTTTCAAGATAATGAGATGAAATCATAGGACCCTGTGACCTTCACCTTTGACCCCCAATATTAACAGGGGTTATCTTCTAGTTATGACCAATCAATATGTGAAATATGAAGACTTTGTGATAAATAGTAACCAAGATAATAAGTTAAAAACATATTACCATTAATGGCCCCGGTGACCTTGTTACCCCAAAATCAATAGGGGTCATCTACTAGTTTCAACCAATCAATATGTGAAATATGAAGACTTTGTGATAAATAGTAATCAAGATAATGAGCAGAAACCATTCTGTAATTTAAGGTCCATGACCTTGACCTAGTGACCCCAAAATCAATAGGAGTCATCTACTTGTTATGACTAATCACTATGTGAAATATGAAAACTTTGTGATAAATAGTTTTTAAGATAATAAGCGGAAACCATGTGGTCTACCGACGGACATTCTGTCATTAGCAAAACAATATACCCCCTCTTCTTCAAAGGGGGGGCATAAAAAGTAGGTTGCTGGGTCAAATTTTAGGACAACTGATATCAAAGTTCAACTCTCCACCTGAATCTGTGGCAGTAGTTCAATTTCCAAGGCTGTTGCTCTCAATACAAAAAGTTTAGTTACTAAGTCAAAATCTAGGTCAAATTTCAATTTTGCATCTGAAACTGTGCACATAGTACAAAAAAATCAAGCAAAGACTACACAATTTCTTAAGTTTTATTTTCATTCGTAACATAGCATATGGTAAATGTACAATTATCATATTTGTTATTGCCAAATAACTTTTACTAACAGGAAAGTCTACATTATTTTATTATATTAGGTGAAGGCACTGTGCTGTCAGCAGCTTCACAATTGTGAATATCTTAAATGCAAGTTTAATGGATGAGGAAAACGTAGATTCTGATTTTTACATATCAAGTGAGGTTTCACAGAAGAGAAAGAAGGAAAAATGTGTTAAGAAAAATGGAACTTGTGAAGACAGGTGCTTTAAGAAATGAGATTGAGAAAACATTGGAGTAGGAAGTGATTTGAAAAGTTAACATTGAATATGGTAGGTATAATAAAAGCTATCAGCTTGACAGCAGCCTCAACTATTCTCAGTGCTTGATAGTCAAACAAGAGCTGGGGTAATATAGCATTTTGTGGGATTATATAGAATTTTGTTTGTTCAAAAAAAGGGGCCAATACTCTTTTTAAAATCTGTGTTAAAGTCATTGGCAATGGATGGAGACCTATTATGCTCTCAAATAAGTGTGAAAAGTTTCAACTCGGGAATTAAGAATACAAATGTATTTGGGTTTTTCCCAACTAATAATGTAGGTACAAACAAACTTTTACAGTTACAGCTTCGAAAATCAGCAAAACAGGTTGACTAATCTATTGTGACGGGTAGTGCACCATGAAGCTATAACAGTAAAATCTAGTTTGTATCTACAGATTAGCTGGGGAAATCCACATTGCCGAGTTCCGGATAACGTCTAATATCTTTAATAGTTCTGGAGGTATCAACTTGAACATAAAAACTTAAAACATAGTGCGACAGCGACATGCAATAGCTCTCTACTCTGCCAATATTTGAGTCAAAATTAGTACAAGTAGGTAAAAATAGAAACAGGAGTGGCCACTACAGGCAAACTGAATACAAATATCCTCCTTATAAAACTGATTATAATAACCTTAGCATATAAATATTCAAGCACTGTCCTAAAAGCTATTCCAGGGCCAAATAAATTTGCCCATTGTTTTTGTTGATAACACATTACAGACAATATTATACATACAAATATCACATAATAAGAACACATTTTCAATGAACACATTTTGAATCTTGAGCAAAATTTGCCAAAAAAAAAAAACCCAAAAAAACCTTAAAGACCCATTAAGCCTTGAAAATTTTATATATTTCTCAAAAACCTTTTATTTTTAATGGAGCATAACAGTTCAAAAAATAGTCACTCATTAACCATTGAGCCATTTTTAAATTTTTTTTTTGCTCCATGTTGATTTTCCGCAATTAGTACAGTTAAAGTGATTTAGTATTTTGTGGAAGTCAAAATACCACACCTTTTTGTTAACTTTATGACAAAGTAATTTACATTCAGCGCCATTTTCTTCTGGTGATAAACATATCTCGTGTTTTTAATACCTTAGTACAACATTATAAAACATGACTTTAACAATTGAATTAACACTTTCTAAACAATATTCATTTATGAGGCTTACTGTGGCTTTACTGTGTAAAAACTGTCATTTAAGTACACTTTAGTGAAACAACTTTTAACAATATTATATCATATCCCTCGCTAAATTCAATTAAATGGATAAATAAACATTTGAATATTTCTTTAATGTGATTCCCTCAATTTCCAAGGAAAACTTTTTATCAATCTAAAGTTGTTTATACATGAATGTGTCAACCTGTACAAGGTTACAGAGGATTTTCTGAAAAGTTCACAATTTGTGAATTAGAATTTTACAATCTACTACAAAATATTAATTCCTAAGCAGATTTAAAAATATACTCAATTTATTATACACTTACTAAATAAAATATTGAGAAATTTTCATTTTACGTATTTTCACTCTAAAAAATTTATTTTCACTGTAGTGAAACATACTTTTCCGTAATTTTCACAGGTGTCTTGCTAGACTACCTTCTTCTAAATTCTGCCAATACACAAAATTTAACGTTATTGCCACTCATAAATTATTTATTTTTAAACCACTCGATGAAAATAAATCTGTATCTATAGAAAAAAACTTTAATATCCTCAATATATGGGACAAGTTACTACCGACAATACAAGAAATTTTATGCTGGCGTCCAATTGACAACCAATCAATAACTGTAGCGTTTAAATGCAGTTACTATAAAAAATGACAGTGAAAATATATTTTATAACATCATATGTAAGCAATCAAAAATATGAATGCACTGATAAAATCTTACACAAGTTGGCTTACATTTAATATTCTTATTTTCACTTTAAAGTAGGAACATAATCATCACAACAAAATGGCAGTAAATGCACCTAAATGGTAGGATACTACGTCATCACGCACCTGCAAAATGCTCCCAATCTGACTGTTATTTCATCGACTTGATGATAAAATATGTTTTAATTCTAAGAAATCGTTAGAATATCACAAAGTAATGTAACAAATCAAATATTGGCTTTATCTCGATACAATTTTAAACAAGGAACATCGCAATGCGATGCAACCAGGTTTTCAGCAAAATATTTCACAGAAGCTTTGTCATGAAGGGGCATTTGTTTTTAATTGAACTTTTAGGAGGAATTATGGCTTTTTTAATATTCCTCAAACAAAAATGATTGAGAAATTTTATGTTGTCTATTCGCCTTTTTTTCCCAAATGTTTTAGAAAGGTAAACAGTACTTTATTTTTGCTTAATTTTTGCATTTTTGCATCTCTTGTCATTTTCTTTTGTCAACAATATTGGCGTGTGGTGTTTTGTGCGATATCAAGAAAAGTATGTTCACAATTTAAAAAAAAATACTTGAATGATGTCTTGGAAGAAACATGGGAATTTAGTGAGCGCCAGGGCACTTGATGACAAAGCTTCTGTGAAAGTTTGGTCAAAATCCATTGAGAAATGTAGGAGAAGTTGCGCACTGTAGAAATTGTTCATTATATATTCTGTATAAGGAAAAAATATACAAAGGGCCATAATTCGGTCAAATATTATCCAATCACAAAACCCCGACAATATGTGCCAGGCACTTGATAACAAAGCTTCTAAGAAAGTTTGGTCAAAATCCGTTGAGAAATGTAGGAGGAGTTGAGCACAGAAGAAATTGTTCTCTATATATTCTGTATAAGGAAAAAATATACAAAGGGCCATAATTCGGTCAAATATTATCCAATCACAAAACCCCGACAATATGTGCCAGGCACTTGATAACAAAGCTTCTAAGAAAGTTTGGTCAAAATCCGTTGAGAAATGTAGGAGGAGTTGCGCACAGAAGAAATTGTTCACTATATATTCTATATAAGGAAAAAAAAACAAAGGGCCATAATTAGGTCAAATATATACCAATTGCAAAACCCTGGCAATATGTGTCAGGGCACTTGATGACAAAGCTTCTGAGGAAAGTTTGGTCAAAATCCGTTGAGAAATGTAGGAGGAGTTGCGCACAGAAGAAATTGTTCACTATATATTTAATATAAGGAAAAAAAAAAAAAGGGCCATAATTAGGTCAAATATTATCTAATCGCAAAACCCCGACAATATGCGCCAGGGCACTTGATGACAAAGCTTCTGTGAAAGTTTGGTTCAAAATCTGTTGAGAAATGTAGGAGGAGTTGCGCACAGAAGAAATTGTTTACGCCCGCCCGACCGCCCGTCCGCCGACATACCTCAATCTAATAACCAGTTTTTTCCTTCGGAAAACCTGGTTAAAAAGCTTTAAAAGTTTTATTGTCTGGTTTAAGCCTGAAAATGGGATGAATTTTGTTTGGGAGTCTAAGTGGGCACCTTACCCCATTTTCAGGACTAAACTTAACAGTTAAACTTTAAACGTTTTTTTACAATTATATCAAGTACTAGAGCCATTGATGTTTGGTACACTACATTATTTTTTTATTTTCTAAAAAATTTCTTAGAGTAAAAACATATTTTATCTTCAAGTCAACAGGATGTTTACAAAAATGCTCCGATTGGGAGCATTCTGCAGGTGCGTGATGACGTAGTATCCTACCACTAACTAGCACCTGACTGGATAAAAAGAAAATGCGGCACTAATCTCCAGGTACCTGTCTTGTTATATCATGTTCCATATATATATATTTAAAATAAGTACAGATAGTTTTCATTGTCAGAGTAAGATCTCACTTCCAGCTCTTTGGCTTAAACATAATATGAGCCGCGTCACAACAAAACCAACATGGTGCATTTGCGACCAGCATGGATCCAGACCAGCCTGCGCATCCGCGCAGTCTGATCAGGATCTATGCTGTTCCCTTACCAACCCTATTACATGTAGAGAATATGATAGCGAACAGCATGGATCCTGATCAGACTGCACGGATGCGCAGGCTGGTCTGGTTCCATGATGATCGCAAACCCACTATGTTGGTTTTGTCATGACACGGCTCGTATTTAAGATCGATTGCGAAACAAGTTCTTGCAACTTTTATTAATCACTTTCGAGTCCGCTACCCGGAACCAACCAGTACTGGTGTCATTTGAAGAAACATGGTCGTGACCTGATTAGGGCTCTAACCCATGATCCCTGGGTTGAGAGGCAGACACCTTAACCACTAGACCTTCCAGCTCTTGGCATTTACATATGAAATTATCTCATTACAAAACTAACTTCATCACTCTCAATCCTTATTCAAATTAACAACAATAAAAAAACAATAATCAATTGAAAACAATGTAAATAATGAGCTAACATTAGTATAAAGAAATCATACATATATAATATGGCAGTTTTTTGACAGTAAAATGTACATCTGAACACTTTGTGGGTTGAGTTAATATCGAACCTTTACAATTGCAACAATTTACAAAACTGACCAACAGAAAAAATAATCCATTACCAATGGTAAAGAAATACAACATATATTGCATACAATTATCTTGAACACATCTGGTTTTTGATCTCTTTTCTTTGAATTAAAAAAAATAAAAAAATAATAATAATAAAATACATATACAATTTCTGAAATCTAAATAATGATACCAGTTAACATACTTAAATGTAAACATTAAAGAAATCTTTTCTGCCTTAACCTTTGAAACAAACTAAATATCTAGCTTACAAAGCTATATACAGATATATATTTTCCTGTATGTTAAATTTGTTCCAGCTTCATAACAGACTCTGGAATTTAATCATTAAACGTCCGGAGCACCAAGTTTTCAATCTTCCTCATCACTGGCTGCATCAAACATCTAAAATGTACAAAGAAATATCAGCCATATAACCCTGTGTATTATAAGTGTTAACTATTTCCTAAATCATATAATGGCCAACTAGAAATGTTTCCATAGACACCAATGCCTTCACATTTCACTGTTTTCTCAGTCAACTTAAAGACTGCCTCACAGCAGGATGCATAAAATTGTGTAATTTACAAAGTTAACTCAAGTCGTTACCCCAGCATATTTTATCACACGGCAAATGGCATTGTACATTATACATGTATGGCATCAGTATTGACAAGATCTTTAAGAGATGCTACAAAAAAGGGTATACAGTTGACTCTCAATAAGTCAAAATCGCTTTACTCAAAATTCCGCGTTAGTCGAAGTATTTCTAAAGTCCCATCAAATTTCCTTCTTTATCTTTGTATTTCAACTCCACTTAGGTCAAATTTTGACTTACCGAGACTCCTGTTTAGTCGAAAAGAAAATTTGGTCCCGTCAATTAAAGTCCGACATATTTTCATTTCAATTAGTCGAAGTGTGAAAACAGCCGACTGATCAAAGGTCGGCGACATAAAGGTGAGATATTGTCTCTCGTGAATCACACGTTCCATAGAAATTTTAAACGCCGGTCATCATGTATTATTAACATGTTGTTAAAGTGACTTTAATTGGTTTCAGGACTTAATTGGTTTTAACAGTTAGATAACTAAATTAAGACTCGTGCCAGTCTGACAAGTGTGTGAGTCAAAAAACAGCTTATGTATTGATGTGTGTTATCAACGTAAATGACATTTGTTTAATTAATGTTCCATCATATTGCATACATTAATATGTAGTTCCGGTTCACGATAGTTGCTACTTTCGTTTTCGTCCGATAATCAATTCACTTCAAATATAAGATAAATTGTTGTTGAAATAAAAGTGTTATTGTGCTTTTATTGTAATGAATTGTCATGAGTGCTTATTATAAACATGTGCTTTACTGATGAATACTGACAAACTTGCATTTTTGTCATTGCTACGAATGTTTGTGTTTATGTGTCACTATTAATATACATGTATTAAATTTTGAATGATATATTTTTGTTCATAATTTGTAGTTGTAAGTGATTTACCGTCATTTCAACGGTTAAATATTGTAGCATTGCCGCTATCAACAATAATAAACCTACTTCTTTGCACATTCAATCAGGCACATGTATATACATGTACGAATGTCAACGTAATGACGGCAGATCCACGTTACTCGAATTCCGTTTCTCTCGAAGTAAAATGCCCAGTCCCTTGGATTTCGAGTTACCGAGAGTCAACTGTAATTTACATGGTTCATAAAACAAGACATATGTGGCAGAGTGGTAAAGGTTGCTGAATTCAAACGCCTCTTAGCTGTGGGGTTTGAATCTTAGACTTTGGATTCTTTCATGAGAAGGTATCTATTTAATTTTTTGAAGGTTAAACAATGATTCTACTAAGTAAAGTGCCCCAACATGCTGGAGATCTTTCTTGTACAATAAATTTGGAAAATTGACCCTTCATGCATTAATTATTCAGGTTGTAAAAGCTGGTACACAACCAAGTACCATAATTTATATTGTTTAAGACTCAAAATTCTCATTATCAATTTAATATAAAACTTACACCCAGCAGATTTTTAGGTTCGATGTTGGCTTTAATGGTAACGGCTTCCTCCGTCTCGGGATTTAGATGTAACGTTGGTGTGACAGGTCGGTCTTCGTCACTCCAGCTTAAGCTACTACTATTCACACTGTCATCATTCTGGTGATGTATGGGACTTGCAGAATGTACAGAGGCACTGAAAATGTATAACTGTATATTGTATCATAGTTTGAGAATGTTTCTGTTGAAAATGAGTTCGAGTTAAATTGCATACATATACATGCACAGGGGGTTAACTAGAGTGCAGGTATTAGTTACCCACACTCTAAAGTATACCCATTGATTGGCTCATTTTTGCTGGGGTTTCCATACTGTGACGACAAAGGAATAGCGATAGAAATATCATATTCAGATGCTCGTTCATTGGTTAATTTTTTTCTGGGGTTTCATATTGTGACAACAGGGAACGCGTTTTATGTTTGCCTATGATACAAAGAGAAGGAACATTAAAACACTCGGCAATCTGATTAATACTCGACTATGCCCCCATCGTACAAATCAGATAGCCACGTATTTCGATGCTCTTTCTATTACATATCTTTGTTGTATAAATGGTTTAAACATATTTAAAGTCAATTGTGACACAGGTTCATTCAACTTATATTAATCACTGTCGAGTCTGCTGCCTGAAACCAACCAGTACTGATGTCATATAATGAAACATGGTTGTTACCGGATTAGGGCACTGAAACCAAAGATCAGAAGTAGTTAAATTATTCTCACGAACTTCATCAAACTTGACCTTGAGGCTATATACAAAGTAGAAATTGCTAACTTTTCATGCAAGATGAGATCTAAATATTCTTCAGATTATATACTTCATTAATTTGGCTGCAATAGCATATCCTCAGATCATTTCCGAATCTGTTAAATTTTACGACTTTTAACTTTCCGTATTTGATGCACTCATACCAATTGAATTCTATCAAAAGTGCACTCGTACCCATTATATCAAAAGTGCACTTGTACCCATTCTATCAAAAGGATTAAAAAGATAATTATAAAGTTGGTTAGAATTCTTAGAGATAATTAATAGATTGAATAAAAGATTAAATTCTTGTAAATTAGCATTTACAGATTTTTGCCTAGTTAATTCTTGTTATTTAACTTACTCTCTAGAAACTCGTCCAACAGGAGAGGAACTCATGGGTGATGGAATGTGGCTGTAGTGTCGGTTACGTAAAGCCGGTGTTGTGAACGCGTTCCTGACCGGAGGTCGTCTGTAATTATAACACATGTAAAACTTTTACGAAAATTAGGAAAAAAGTTTAAAATTGAGTCAGGTTGGTAACTACCCACAGGGGAATTCTCAAAAATATGAGTGAATCCCCCCAACCCCCTCCTAGAATAGACACTGGCTAGTTTTAGATTGTCATTGGTGGAAAAGTCTGTATCAATAAAATTATGTGGAAAGGACAATATTGACGATTTACTGATTTATCAAATTAAATCGCTGATACATTCACATTATACAATTTTTTTTCAGTTCGATTGTGTTGGAAGCTATAAGCTTTTTGAAACACTATTCCTGGAACCAACCAGTACTAAGGAATGAATTTAAAGTTTCTTGCTCAAGAAAACGACTTGCCCCTGACAGGGTTTGAATCCATGCAGTCAGCAATCCTTAGATTACTAGACCTATGCATTTACCACTCGACCACGCCGCCACCTGTGATACATTTGATGCTATTTCAATACCGGACATTAATGGTCATCATGCTTGTTTTAAACATTACAAAAAAAATTGCACAACATACTTAAAAGAGAAGTATATTTTCTTGTAATTATTTCTCATCATTTTCTCATTAACATTTGAAAATTAAATTTAGGAAAAAAGTTAGCCAAGAGGAGGGAAGTAAATTCTACTGTCAGACAAAATAGAATAGATAGTTTCACCAGACAGGGAGAAACATTTGGGGTTTAAAGTGTATTAACATTGTGGATTAATATCAAACTGAATGTTATATGATTATAACAATTTTCAAAGGCAGCCTAAGCCTAGCTTTACACTGTTGTTATAAGCAAATTATAATTTCTACTAAAATTGTAAGTAACGGTAAAACTCAAAGTTTTAACAATTCAGTAATAAAGCTACTTTGATGAAATTATTGGTTCAAATGGAGAATATTGATTTATTTTTAAAGATATGATCAATTGTCTTAATTATATTATGTAGAAAAATACCTAAAATTTAACAGATCAAACATTTAAATAGAGAACAAACAGTTTTTTTTTTTAACAGGTTGGGGAAGGCAGCCCTGCCCTTCATCACACAATATATTTGCAAAAGGGGAAGAAAAAACTTGATGTAAATTCAATTTTTTGGGGGAACACTTCATGATAACACTTTTCTTTAGGGAAGCAGCCATATAACAGCCCCTGCTATAGAAGGAAAAAAAGCCCTGACAAATCTAGATTTTAGGTGAACACTTACACTGGTACATCCTCATGGAAACTGTTGTCCGAGGATGAAGTATCAAATGGAGCGCCAATAGAATTGTTATGTATACTCACATCATTTAAAAATAATTCATCTGGAAAAAAATAATAATAAGAAATTAAACATTTCTTCCTTTAACAAGTTTTAGAAACAATGTTCTATAGAGAAAGAATTCAGCATTATTACAAGACAAACAAGAAACATGGCAATGCCATGAAACCAGGTTTTCAATTATCACCATTGTAGATAAATATCTTGTATTTGAAATACAAATACAAGCAACAAACAATGTAACTATGTGCAATGTAAAACATGAATAATGTAGGAGGAATTGCCACTGAAGAAGTGTTCACTATATATTCTGTATAAGGAAAAAACAAAGGGCCATAATTAGGTCAAAAATTATCCAATCACAAAACCCCGACAATATGTGCCAGGGCGCTTTGTGACAAAGCTTCTGTGAAAGTTTGAACAAAATCCGTTGAGAAATGTAGGATGAGTTCAGCACAGAAGAATTTGTTCACTATATATTGATAATTCTGTATAAGGAAAGAAAACAAAGGGCCATAATTAGGTCAAATATTATCCAATCACAAAACCCAGACAATATGCGCCAGGGCACTTGATAACAAAGCTTCTGTGAAAGTTTGGTCAAAATCCGTCGAGAAATGTAGAAGTTGCGCACGATAGAAATTGTTCACTATATATTCTGTATAAGGAAAAAAAAAAGGGCCATAATTAGGTCAAATATTATCCAATCACAAAACCCTGACAATATGCGCCAGGGCACATGATGACAAAGCTTCTGTGAAAGTTTGAACAAAATCCCTTGAGAATTGTAGAGGGTGTTCAGAAGAAATTGTTCACTATATATTCTATATAAGGAAAAAAAACAAAGGGCAATAATTAAGTCAAATATCATCCAATCGCAAAACCCCGACAATATGCCCCAGGGCACTTGGTGACAAAGGTCCTGTGAAAGTTTGGTCAAAATCCGTGGAGAAATGTAGGAGGAGTTGTGCACAGAAGAAATTGTTCACTATATATTCTATATCAGGAAAAAAAACAAAGGGCCATAATTAGGTCAAATATTATCCAATCGCAAAACCCCGACAATATGCGCCAGGGCACTTGATGACAAAGCTTTTGTGAAAGTTTGGTCAAAATCTGTTGAGAAATGTAGAAGGAGTTGCGCACAGAAGAAATTGTTTACGCCCGCCCGCCGACATACCTCAATCTAATAACAAGTTTTTTCCTTCGGAAAACCTGGTTAAAAACTAATACTTTTACATAGCACTTTAAAAATGCAAATTGTTAATTTTGGCACTAGAACTCACTGTCCTGTTAATGTATTTTTTTTCAGGTTGTTTAGGTACATCTAGTGCCCTCAACTAGGGGTGTCACGTTTAAACAGGAACAGTTTTGGCTAAAAATTGGTTAGAAAATTCAATAACCGAGTTTAGTATTTGACTAAGGGGCGGAAAAGTTTTAAATTGATTCCAATATCATATATTACATTAGATTTGTATGAAAAGATATGACAATTGTTTGTTTTTTAGTTGTACTCTACAATGTATCTTTTTTCGATCTGATCAAATACGGTACTACCATAGCAGAAAAAAGTTACTCCATGTTCGGTCATTTTGAGTACAACAAAATACGAACAAAGTGGCATATCTTGTCATAAAGAAACAAAGTTAATGTTGAAAACCTTAAGGATTTTATTAGAACAGTGGGTTAAACGTTTAACATGGTTATTTCATCCCCATTTAAACGGTTAGGATTTTTTTCTAACCGTGACACCCCTACCTTCAACTAACCCAAGTAGCTGTCATAATTGCTAACTACTGCCCAACCGCATACTATTGCCTAACTAATAGCAAATACCTAGCTTATTCTAAATGACTAACTTTATACAAAACGCCTAACAAAATACGTCATACACTGACTCACCATCTGAGAGGCTATGATCCAGCTGTCCGGAAGTATTGAAGCTGGATGAGAGGCTACTAGAATGTGTGGACTTTCTGTATCGGATACGTATTTTATTGTACGGAATGGTGAACAAAGTCAGTAGTAGCAACATCCATTCCCATACTTGAAATAATGAAGACTTTACAGTAGATATCTGTAAATAAAGAATGTTTACGTCAAATGCTTGTGTTTGTCAATATGTGTGTGTGTGTTTTAAGTTGCCGCAACTCTTGTTACAGCAATTAGGCCACTTTGCAGCCTGAGACTTAACAACAGAAGTGATGACCTGCAATGCCTTGATATCCAGTCAATATATATCAAGTAGCTGAAACACAAAGTATAAGAGAGGTTTGGCCAGAATATGTCTATACTACTATCTACTGTACATTATTATATAGAACAGATTTATTACAGGAAGAGACACAAACTTATAGGCTTTTTTACATTGCACCAACATAGTAGAGGTCACATGGTGACTTTCCAGCTTTATGGTGAAGGAAGACCTCAGGTGACCTTCTGTCAACAAACAGGCACATGAGTAGAACTATCAATGTTCCATAAGCTAGCTGGATAGCTTCCTCACTTGAAAGGATGCTAAGTCCCTAGTGAGACTTAAACTCACAGAGGCTAGGGGCGAAAAGTTTGAAGTCAAACATCTTAACCACTCAACCACAGATGCCAAATAAACTTTCTTATTCTTATTTCTTTCTTATTAATAATGCAAAAGTCTGAAAAAGTTTATAAATTATCACATACATGACGTCATATGATGCCTTTACTAGAAGAGGGAGACTGTTGGTACACCTTATATAAGGCAATAACAGGTACCTAGGTGGAATAAATTACATACCATACACTACCAAGATAACTTCATCACATCATGTGACTGTGTTTCCATAGAAGATACAAACCAATGCAGTGTGGTAAAAAAAGACATAACAGTCAGGTACTAGATCACTTGTACAATAATTCGAATAAATCTTGACAAAGTAATTAAACCTGTACACTTACAGCACTTTTAAGCATGTACTCTCGCCTTCTCTTCTTTAGCACCTGAAATAATCCAATATTTCATATCAAACATATTTTCACACTCACTATGATATATAACATAGAAACTGGTCAACAATTGGCTTTACCTTTTCCATGCTAAAATTTGGTTTACTTTGTAAAACAAAAATTTGTTGTTTTTTTTGTAAAAATATCCACTGCAAATTTCCTTGTTTCAGCTTATTATTAATGAACTTTCAAACTTTGATTAGCTGGAATATTAGCACCAATTGGAGGAAATAATGTTGAGTATTGTTGGTTTTTTTTCCCATAATTGAGCCCCGTCATGACAAAAACAACATAATGAGTTTGCGACAAGCATGGATCCAGACCAGCCTGCGCATTCGCGCAGTCTGATCAGGATCCATGCTGTTCGCTATCAGTTTCTCGTCTTGTTATATGGTTCATAAGGGAACAACATGGATCCTGATCAGACTGGTCTGGATCCATGCTGGTCGCAAACCCATTATGTTGGTTTTGTCGTGACGCGGCTCATATGATTTTGAAATCATTTAAGATTTTGTAAGATAAAACATCAAGAATCTCACCTTTCTGACGTAAGGGAAGGCGAGACATTGATCGGCTGTAGGACGATGACTCGGTGCAGGATCCAACATCTGACGTATCACATACTTCAGGTCAAACGATTTATCTGTAACATTCAATATACATATATATATTTCATACATGCTTGGGTGGTATATTCATGAATTAATAGCAGAAAGAATTGGAATAATTCTTTGTAAGGTAAGTGGATTTTTTCTTTACCCTTATGAAAGAGGATTTTTTTCTTGTGTTGGTACCGAAATAATTCCCTAGATTTTATACACCAGAATTTACATCTTGTCACATTAGTGACAATGGCAACGGACAGTGAGAACCTTCAGTTCTGACAAAAGCCAACATATAAATTTTGACTATTTGAAATTTTGGAAGGAAAAAGAATCTTAGCTATTGGAAATTTTCAGGCCATTCAAAGAAAAAATCCACTAAATCTGTGATTCAAAGAGTGATTTTTATACCCTATCAGTAAGAAATATATTACAAAACTACATGTTTTTAACATATGAGGAAACTGGTGATATAGTTTAAGAGTTTACTGAAACATGGATTGAAATTGCAAAGAGAAAATTGTTACACAATTTTATCATACCTCTCAGGAATTCATCAGGGAGCTGTCCTCTTCTCAGTACATGCCAGCCCTCTCCTCCTCTAGGTAGGTCAAGGTCACTGGCTAACTCTAGCACTGTCATTCCTAAACTGCAAACATAGATTGTCAATTATGTTTTCTTTCATTCCATTCAGACAAACATAAATAATTTATCATTTAACTCCTTAATTAATATCCTACACTTATAAAATATAAATAAGAAAGACAATGTAGGAGTGGCTACTATAGGTTCACTTTAATTTATCGTGTGTAGTGAACCAACAGTACCTCGAACAGAAGGTACACTAACAACAGAACTATTATGACAAAGTTTTCACATTGACTGGATTATGACAACCACAAACAGCTGTTGATACATTAGTTCAGGTATAGATATGCACAAAAATATAGCAAAGGTATCTTAATGGCCTTCTACAATTAAAGAATGCATCGTTCACTTTGGGACTAAAAACCAGTATTAGTAAAAACATGTCATTGTTAATCTGAAAACTGGTTTGAAACAAAAATTTTTAATCATAAATTATAGTTTTTTGGAAGTGATGACAGAAATTTATATTTTTCAAGAATTCGGAATCAATACAACATAATACATATAATAAATACCTAAAAATATCAGCCGCCTTACTATATTTCCCGTCCATCAATTCTGGTGCCAGGTATTTTGGATCACCTTCCTGAGCCTCGGAAAAATCATTGCCCTGAAAAACATTTACCATCCAAATTCAGGTGCAAACAACCAGGTGCAAATTTCTACAAACAATTAATCATGAACATCATATTTATATACTGTCATACACAGACTTATATCATAAGATAACATGTTAGAGGTGTCCGTGGCTGAGTGGTTAAAGTAGCTGACTTCAAACCACTTGTCTCTCAGCGCCGTAAGTTCTAGCTAACTAGCTTACGAAACATCAATGGTTCTACACAGGTGCCCATTTGTGCCTGAAATAATGTACAGATGGGCACAGGTCTCCCTCAACCAGTAAAGCTGGAAAGTCCTCATACGACCTATACTGTGTTGGTGTAACATAAAATCCAACAAAACAAACAGGTAATATGTTTCATATAGGTAGAATAAGATGGCATTCCTTTAAATTTTAGGGAAAAAATAAAAGGAATGTTTGCTTTTAAATATCCATAAACAAAGTTCATAAAAACATATTAAAATATAAAGGACGTAACAAACCTTTGACAGATCTATAACCAGGCCAAAATCTCCTAATTTACATATACCGTCGTATGATATAAATATATTATCAGGCTTGATATCCATGTGTATCAGGTTATGTGCATGAAGATGTTTCACAGCCTGAAAATACCAGATATAACCTACACACAAAATGTTCCGTCAAATAGACAAGTTCCAATATTATCATCATTATTATCAGTGGTGGTGGTTATAAACGTAATATTTTTATCATTATTATTGTATATGGAGATAGTCATAAAAGTAATATTATTATCATTATAATCATTATTATTCTATTCAACATCATTACCTTTCTTCTTTTTCTCATTTTTTTCTTTTGGTTTCAAGTAACAGTCATTTAAATTCCAAGAGTTATATGGCATTTATTTACTACTGCTTTTGTTTTAAATGCCATGTATATTTGTATTCCATGTCGAAATAATTTTCAATCATTATTCCATGCCATGGGTAGCGAGGGATTAGCAACATCAGTATAAAGCCTGCCACTGTTCGTACCGGTTTTGACTGAATGGCCAAATAACCTAACAGACCAGTTTTTGTTTTTGTGCCGATACATGTCTGGCGCAGATTTTAGACGCGCCCATGGCCCTATGCTGCTGATTTTCTTGTGCCATTTTCATTTTTTTTAATGGCGCAAAATCATCTCCTTGACAGATCTCTGTCTTTATACATTTACTAAATTGAAACATTCAAACAGATTTCTGAAAAAGCATCAGTCTTCTACGTGAAACTGCAGTAAAGATATAACACATGCTAGTAAAAGAAAAAAGTTCAGATGTATACCTGTAAAAGATCTACAAGAAAGTTCCAGATGACGGGCTCACTAATATCATGATGTGCCTCGGCATAGTTACTCAAACTGAAATTAAAACTGCTTTTTAACCAGTGTAATGTGAGTGATGAACTAAGGCTTTTGTTTTAGATGCTTGCCTCCTAACATATAGATTATAGGTTTGAACTCAATTTATACTTTTAAGCTGCAAGTCCCTACTTGTGCTCTACTTGTTATGAAAAGATTGAGCCCTACTTCTGTAGTATTATTTCAATGTTATTCATCCGTATGATTATTTGAACCAGTCATTTAATTTTACTTTGAACAAATCATATAGATTTTATTTGACATCCCTGCTGTTTTACATTCCAGTTTAGCAAATTTAAGGTAGTGTTAAAGATGGCATATTGTTATTATTGTGTGAATAAAGATAACAGATTACTGTATAGCAGAATAAATGTTGAGTTACATCAAAGCATACAGCAGTCTGAAGCTTTGTGGTCTCGTGTTTGCAGTACAATGAGGTGTATTATACTAGTATAACATTTGTCTCCATCATTATCACTTTCTTAAATTTACTAAAATTTTATATAAAACAGCAGGGGTTTGAGTTTGGGATGGGCAAAAATGAGGAAATAACTATTCATATAGCTAGAGGTATCGGGGCTGCTAGGGCCCCCAACATGTCCGAGGGTCCACGGATTTTGCCCTTTAAAATCCTGTAAAAAAACCTTTCAATGTTGTTTCGCAGTGTCATAAAAGCATCTTTTAATAGCGACTTTGTTTTAAACAGCACGATGAACTTTAAATATTCATTTTTCATTTCTGATAGCATGGCATCTTAAAAAAGTACTGTACGGATTTTAGATCTGTATTTGGAAAAAGAAGAAAAAAGTATGAAAAAGTAGGGCCTGCTTGACATGCCTGTACAGCCTATATATCTATACCTAGTTTTACAAAGTTCCACCAGGAGATAAAGGTGTTGTCTTTCTTCCCACGCCTTGTGTATTTTTACACAGTTTGGATGATGTGGCAACTTCTCTTGTTTAGCTACCTCTTCAAGTTTCCTTCTCTGCAAAACACAAAGACAATTTAACTATAAATATTAAAAGGTTTAAAAACTATCAGATTTACTCGTATCATTAATACTTTCCCTATGAATAACTTTTGCGTGAGTACTTAATAAACTTAGTTATTTGTCAATAAAATAATATGAGCCGTGTCATGACAAAACCAACATAATGGGTTTTGCGAACAGCATGATAGCGAAATAGCATGGATCCTGATCAGACTGGATGCTGGTCGCAAACGCACTATGTTGGTTTTTGTCGTGACGCGGCTCATGTAGTATTGTACCTATCTGACTGGCCCCTGAATCTTTCACGAGATTTTTTAATTGCATACAGCTTTCCATCTTCTTTACTCTTGACTTTAAACACCTGAAATATACAAATTATACACATTATGAACAATATTATGCTCAAGAAAATCTTACAATAATATAATAAAATTCAACTCATTCAATAAATTAAGTATTAAAAGAACTTAACTGAGGTTCAAAAGCCGAAAAACATGAAATTTGAATTCTTTACCAACAGTACTGTAGATCAGCTGGGTCACTAAAACCAATAGGAAGTGCAAAAGATACTTAAAAATAAATTGAAAATCACAAGTTTGTGCTATTCTTAGTCATATTTGAGTGAAAAGCGTTGCAACACTTTTCAATTCAGGGTCATTTTTCACAATAAAAATAACAAGATATGTTTGTAAAACATGTATGCCCCCTATCAGCAGCCAATTATTCATGTGATAAGGTAATTATGCATGACTTTTGACCCAGTGATCAAACAATTAATAAAGGTTATCAAGTATCTACTGGTCATGACCTTGACCTTTGACCCCTTGACCCAAAAAACCCCAAAAGGGGTCTTTTCTGGTCACACCAATCATTCATACAAAGGTTTTAAGTCCTAGGGGGTAAAAGCTTTTTTAGTTAAATGATCGGGGAAAAGTTTTTTTCCTAAGGTCATGTTACATGACCTTTGACCCCCCTTTACCCTAAAAAACAAAGGTTATGCTGGGTCTGACCAACACCATACAAATTAATTCCCCAGGCCAAAGGGTTTTAAGTTATTGATCGGAAAACATTTTTACCACAATTAATGTGGTTTTTTTGCCCCTTCCCCAAAAAATATAGGGGCACTCTGGGCTGCCCAAACAACCAAAATTTGAAATTTAGGGTTTAAGGGGTTTTTTAATTTTTATCAAAACGCTTTTACCAAATCAATGTGACCTTGACCTTTGACCCCTTGACCCCAAAATCAATAGGGGTCATCTACTGATCATGACCAATCACCATACCAAGTTTGAAGTTCCTAGGCTAAGGGTTCTTTATTTATTGATCCGAAACTGTTTTTACCTAAGAGGTCAATGTGACCTTGACCTTTGACCCCTTGACCCCAAAATCAATAGGGGTCATCTACTGATCATGACCAATCACCATATCAAGTTTGTAGTCCCTAGGCCTAAGGGTTCTTTCGTTATTGATAGGAAACCGTTTTTACCTACAAGGTCAATGTGACCTTGACCTTTGACCCCTTAACTCCAAAATCAATAGGGTCATCTACTGATCATGACCAATCACCATATCAAGTTTGAAGTCCCTAGGCCTAAGGTTTCTTTCGTTATTGATCGGAAACCGTTTTAACCTACAAGGTCAATGTGACCTTGACCTTTGACCACTTAACCCCAAAATCAATAGGGTCATCTGCTGGTCATAACCAATCACCATACCAAGTTTGAAGTTCCTAGGCCTAAGGGTTCTTTTGTTATTGATCGGAAACCGTTTTTACCCAAGAGGTCAATGTGACCTTGACCTTTGACCCCTTGACCCCAAAATCGTTAGGGTCATCTACTGATCATGACCAATCACCATACCAAGTTTAAAGTTCCTAGGCCTTAAGGTTCTTTACTTATTGATCGGAAACCGTTTTTGCTTACAAGGTCAATGTGACCTTGACCTTTGACCCCAAAATCAATAGGGGTCATCTACTGATCATGACAAATCACCAAACCAAGTTTGAAGTTCCTAGGCCTTAAGGTTCTTTAGTTATTGATCGGAAACCGTTTTTGCTTACAAGGTCAATGTGACCTTGACCTTTGACCCCTTGACCCCAAAATCAATAGGGGTCATCTACTGATCATGACAAATCACCATACCAAGTTTGAAGTTCCTAGGCCTTAAGGTTCTTTAGTTATTGATCGGAAACCGTTTTTGCTTACAAGGTCAATGTGACCTTGACCTTTGACCCCTTGACCCCAAAATCAATAGGGGTCATCTACTTGTCATGACCAATCACCATACCAAGTTTGAAGTTCCTAGGCCTAAGGGTTCTTTAGTTATCACTCGGAAACCATTTGGTCTACGGACCGACGGACCGACAAGTGCAAAGCAATATACCCCCTTTTTTTCAAAAGGGGGCATAATTATTCTGGAAAAACGTAGAGAGCGAATATTCTTAAATTTTGCACACAAGTTATTGGTCTAAACCTAAACCAAAGAACATTTATTTTGAAAATTAGTTCTAATCCAGTCATGTCAAAAAACCTACACTCACAGGGTTTTCATTTTTATCTGAGGCAACAGATTCTCTCAAGAAAACAACCAATTTATTGATACTGTAATATACTGGCTGAAAATACTGATTTTAACAGCATTTTAACCAATGTTTTGGATTACCAATCTGTTAATAATGAAAACCTAAACTCATCCAATATTTATGCAAGCCTTTGAAGACCTATCACTATAATTAGCTGAGACCCATCACTCTTGCAGCGTACTTACAGTATACTTACAGTGTACCAAAGGAAAACAAAATACATACCTCACCAAAAGAGCCAGCACCTAGTTGTGAAATCACCTGAAAACACTGGTTAAAATACAAATCTCTACTATGTTGGTTGTACCCTGGACTCAATACAGCTAAAACACAAGTTAAGGACTTATTTACATATACATAGATACAAGGTTATTTTTTTCTCCTGTATTTTACTGCCAAAATAAAGGCTCTTTCCCCAGGCCCAAAATAGGTATATTTTCCTTTAAAAAATGCTTTATTTCCCCCTGAAAAGCTCTGTGTATATTCTTCATCAGAACCATGACTTGACGGCAGCTGATTTATATCAGCTAATTGATCAATTTATTTGACTGTAAAACAGAAATCTGTCCCTATTGTTAGCCTAGAGCTGCTATGTACCATGCATGAAATTTAAGATTGAATTGAAATTGAAATTTTTTTTGTAGTGTGTGGGTAAATTCCATTCTTAGTTGTTAGAATTTGATTTCAGCTTAAGTTTTCCCCCTAGTTATCATGCTATATTTTTCAATGTTTTATATAAATATTATCTATTCATAATTTCATAATCATGTGCATCCTTGGATACCCACAGTTGATTAAAATGTAGCATAACATGTAATCATCTGTGGGTAAAAATGAATTAAATTGTGTAGATAAACAGCGATAGGTGCATAAAATATCAACCAATGAAATAGTGTTGAGCAAAATTTATATTCTTCGACAGCAAAGGTAAACAACTATCAGAAACAGAGTAGGAGCGCCCACAGTGTAAACCCGTTTCAAATGTCTAGCAAAACTATTCCCAAACTAAATTATTTCACAAGCAGAGAACACAACAGTAATATTTTTTCTAGAATTAAGTAATGAACCTTTCACCAAAAGTCATATATAGAATGAGCGTTTTGATTGATTTTAATCGCCTCTTGAAATTGTGTGGCAACGGTGAACCAATGAAAAAGCTGTCTTTGACACACCTCTTATCGACTGGATGTCGGCGAAAAAATCAAACAGCTGATGGAAAGATAATGGTGCGTCTGTGGGTGTCACTGTCAGACGATGAATTAGGCGAAACAGAACTTTATTTCATAAATTGCAAGGATACAGTCATTTGTTTTTGAACTTCTAAAGGACACAATCTGAGCTCTTGTCACTGGTCTATGTGGGAAAATACGGCTTACAGGTGGAGCACTTTTCACAGGTGGTCTTGGTGGAAGCTGATCTCTTGGTGTACCTCTTGACTAAAAGTAGAAAAATAAAGTTGATATCTGTAACATAAAGAGACGTCTGCAATTTTTGGTGGATTAAGGGGGTGTGGAGGGAGGTGGCAGGTGAAGGAAAGATTTCCATAGGTCAAACTGACCAAATAATTTAAAATTATTTTGCTCCACTCAGTTGTATCAAGGATGATGGAGCAGGCTGTAACGGTCTATACAAGGAAGTCCATCCGTCCTCAATATCCATATTACATAAACTATGCGGGAAATAAGTGGCACATATTAAAAGAAGAGTTATAGCTAATATAAAATAAAATAATAAAGGTTACATGCCTTTTTCGTGGAGAAAGTTTGCACCTCCTGAAAAAAATGTGGCGTTGGCCTTGGACTTTGGAAGGCTGCCATTTCGCCTTACATTGTTATTCACGGTAATATTCACATGCTCATTAATCGATACTTATAACCTTTGAAAATATAAGTTAGTTCATATGGTTATAGTTATTTCAATTGACTTCAAAACAAGTGAACTCAGAGTTTGTTTATATTTTTCTACTTCCTCGGGAAAAATTTCGCGGTCTTTTGCCATCGATTAGTAACAGAGATCCCGATTGGTTAAAAAGTGTTTATATAGTACGACTATTTTCTTTTTCTACGGCTTCTTATTGACTGGTTGTAAAGTACTAAATAATGGTTTAGAGTTCAAAACACTTCTTTGTTTTATACGGCATTCCTTTAAAACAAAAATATGATATGAAATATTTGTGGTTTATATGATACTATAAAACCTATCTTCAGTATAGAAAATTATATTATTAAAATTAAAGTATAAATATATTTCTGGACTAAATGATATTTGAAAAAAAAGTTTTTTTATCTGCATTTAATCTGAATTTTTAGGTAGGTTAAACAGCGCTTTAAAGTAGAAACGTTTTTTACACCCCCCCCCCCCGAGACGATTCACTCTATTTTATACTCTATTTTATAACGGTTTAATTTAAATCTTTAAGAATTAATGTTTTTTATGCTGGACAGATTATTATAATTATGCTGAATGGTTTTCCAACACCTCTCATCATTTTCAATTATTTTAAGTTTTAAACCTCTATAGTTTAATAATTAAGATTTTATTCTGTGATTAAAAGGCCCATTATGACCAAGATATGCTTCTTTTTTTGTTTCTGTTTTTGCTATGTTGTTTTTACCCATTATTCCATAGGTTATGTTTAAACTATTATATATATGTAATTCCGACAATAGATAAATATTGACCTGACTTGACTTCTATTTTTCTCCTCTTTTTATTTTTGCTTCTCTTTTAAATCTGCAACATGGAGGTAAATCTGCATAGAAATTTGGAAATAAAAAAAAAACTTCCAGATTCAATGACTAGACATGCTACTGATATTTAATGTAGAGCAATAATCGTGATTTCGAATTCCAGGAAATAACGTCCATTATAGCCAAAACAATGTACGTTTGATTTTATAGATTAAATTTGATGGCATTTATCATGTTTTTAGGAATACGAGGATTGTTCAAAAAGTTATATGACTGAGAGTCTTGCATATCCATATTTCATCCAATTTAGAATATTTTCATATGTATAGGGATCGTAAAATGTTTTCTACAATTTATGCATAAGTTTATTAATTTATGCTGATGAACGCGCGTTCCTGTGAATTGAAAACCATGGAAAAACATGCCCCCCGGGCGCAGCACAAAAAACTAGTTTTTGAATCTGATTTATTTTTGATTTATTCAAAATTTAACTCTTTTTTGTCCATTATACACTAAACACATTTTTTTTATATTTAAGTGCATTAAATTAAATTTTACGAAATTGGGCATGAAATACATAATTATTTTTGTTTTGAAAAAGCTGTGATTTTTGTGTTAAATGAAAATACGCACCGGTAATAAAAAAAAATTCATGCAAACGTTTAAATTTTCCCAAAAATGAAAATTTAATATTTTTCAAGTACATACAAAAAGATAAAATTAAAAAGGAAAAATCCTGCCCTCAGGGCAATCGTTTTCAGCTGGTAAACGGCGAATACAAAAAATCCTCACAGGAATGTTTGAGGATGAAAGCGGAAAATTGACGCAACGTTAGTGACGTCAATTGCAAAAGCGGTGTAAATGGATCGACGGTAAATGGTACGCGGACTGTCCGGTATTTTTTATGTCTGCTTCGGGTCTACTTATTCAGTTCTCACCAAAGGATTGTTTTTATCAAACACTATTTTATTGTATCTCATTAGATATACTTCGTTTTATATAAATTTATACAATAATTAATAAAAACGTAGTATTTTCCCCAACTTTGTTTGAATAAATGATACTTTTAAATTGATAAATATTGTTATTTTACTGTATATAATCATATTGTTTTAAAAACGTACGATGACATACATGTGAAAATTGATTATAAAAATCGTTTTTTTTCTTAAGCATTATAAGTCCATGCTTGTTGAGTTTCAAGTTTACTCAAATATTCGAGAAAAAAGGAGAATGACCGGCTATCGGACATTTTTCTTGGAGAATTGAACGAAATTGCGATCGCTTTCTTTCACGCTCCATGGAAGATACATGTATAATTTCCTTACTTTGGAAAATATATTTCTTAAGAAATGAAGTTGACGTTTTTCTAGATAATGAACAGATAAATATGGGATAAGGTAATTCAAAGCTTACACATGTTCTTCCTTTCCTCGGTTAATCAGGTATTCATACATGTAATTACCGTAAATAAAATATCTTCCACATGACATAATACGGCCGAGAGATATTCGAAAATCTGGAACATAAAATAGTCAGAAAGACAAAGTAATGACTAATGGATATATTCGTTTATTTTACATTTCTTGTCACAAATTAATTTACAGTCGCAGTTTATCTGTTCTTTCTATATGTATTGTATCGTGCCAGGAGTCCTGAAATAAGTAAAAGAGACCCATAAGTTTTTATTACAATCTTTATAAACACAACTTAAATTAAACCAGTGATATCAACCAGTATTCAGAGCTAAATTTCGTTCTGAAATTTTGTTTTAAAAGATTTGACCTGTATATAATTTACTAAAAACATACACATGGACAGACAAAAAGAAATCCGGTGGAATTGATTTCAAGTATAGAGACAAAGCTTTGTTTGTTTTTGGTTGTTGTTAGTAACAAACACAAATATGAATTTACAATGCAATGATTTTAACAATTTTTTAACATTATTTTTTAAAAATAATGATAATGATAACAATAATTATAATACAACAACAGCAGCAACGACACACCGAAAACTCTATAAATAAACCTTAAATTGAATAATATAAGTAAATTTTATAACTGTTCTAATAAAATAAAGAATTGTATCTGTATACAGTTTATTTTAAGTGGACATACAATGGTACAAGAATTTAAACAATATAAGCTGTAATTTAGTATCGATAAAAGTTTTTTTTAAATAACTATTCTAATAAAATAAAAAAATAAATACACGTATCTGAATATGTTTACAGTGGAGATGCAATGATACAAAAAAATTAAAACGGTATAAGCTGTAAGTGTCGTCACCTTATTTTTGTCTTTCTTGGCTCTTACAACAATATATTGTCCCATCTTCGCAATCAGCTGTTTTATGTTCATCTGGCATGAAGTCATATCCATTGGTACACTCCTCCTCTGGCATGCAGCCACAAGACAGGTCTCTTTTTACACCTTATTTTAAATGGAGAAATAAAAACTTTATTAAAGGGATATTCAGGCAAATTAATGACAAAAATATAAAAAAAAATCTTATGCACTCAAATCACACTAAAATGACATTTGTAAAAGTCCCAGCATGAATTTCTGTATATATTTATGTATTTTGGGTTTGAAGCGTAAATATATCTATATATGGTGAACGAAATTTAGACGCCGACAGAATCACGAAGTAATTTTAAAACTAGTCATGTGACTTGAACAAACCCTGGAAGCTACAATAACAGATATTGTGGATATTGTATGATTGAAACAAACCTAAATCATTCACTTGACATGTTCTTTAACGTTTCAATAGTTCACTGTGACAACTATATATATTGTGAATTCTTTACGCTCAAAGCTGGCCCACGTGGGTCAAGTTAGGAAACCACCATTTTATTCTTTATAAGGAGAAAAGTTTTGTTCCTGTGACTTCGTAGTGTATTCATTTTGAGGACATTTACAGATTAATGAATGAAAAATTCAAAATGAAGAAAGGAAAATTTTGCCTGTGTATATATATACTGTATGGATGTGTTCATTCGTACGTTAAAAAACAACACATTTTTTATTTTACATTTTATTTACAAAACTTTAGCACAAAATGGACAGAGGCAGAAGCTTTGGCGATGTTTAAGGACTTCAACAATTCAAGTATCTCGTGCTATCAGAAATATGAGTGGCACGTGTTATTAAACATGTGATTTCACAGAAATAAGTAAGGGTTATTTTTTCCATATTTTAACCCTTTTTTTTGGTAATTTACGTGGAATATAAGTGTTGTAATACTTTCTTGGTTCACTTTGCAATATGTCATTTTTAAATACATTTTCATTTTTTTTCATGGAAATAAGCCTTCTTTAAAGAAGAAAAAGAACAGACGAAAATGTTTGTTAAAATCGAGTGTTTAAGATAAGTGCACATGTATATATCTAGACAGCCGTTTCATATGATTGACAAGACTGCACTATTACAGACAGCAAATGCGCTGTAAAAACATTTTTTGAATGTATTTATTTGTGTTTGGTTTTACGGAGCACTAACATAGTTTAGTCATATGGCGCAGGAAAAAGGAAAGATGATTTTGGCTAACCTTAGGAGCAACGCCATGGTCAAAACCACGTCACCTGCTAGAGCTATGAGATATATATATTATACTAATAATCTTGCTGGTACAAAACGGACAATTATTACAATAGAAACGCAACTTACCTAATGCCGCATCAAAATGTGCAATCAGGCAAAGTCCAAGGATTAAAAAAGTCAATTTATATCCCATTGTTAAATCTGTAAAACACACATAAATGCTATGAAACTTGCAAGAGAAATAAAATGTAATTGCATAGGACAGTAAATCACTCTAGACTTGATTTGCAACATCTTGAACGTGTAATTGTTATCAGGGAAGAGGCCCGGCTTTCGAAATAATAAGTCGAGAGATATGAAACATTTCGGAACACCTCGCCTATTTCAGATGATATTCCTAACCCGAAGATTGCCGAAAAAAGCCGATCGAAAAGTTGCAAGTGTTATAGGCCAGGAATAAAAATATACGAAAATGTCTTATGTTTTCCGCCCGTAATGTGATAAACTGAGCCTCAAATATTATCATCAATCTGTTAGACCAATTATTTTCATGTTATATCTTTCGTGAAAATCAATGCTTTTAATCAAGGCGATGAGAAAAAAACATAGATATATATATTGTCACCTGTTACAATTTATGAATATACGAACTTTGTTAAACTTATTAACTTAAAAGGTTTGTGATGAATATATATTAAGTTCTTTTTTATTTGAGAAGAACAAAATCGATACAACAATTTCACAAACATTTTATGTGTAGTTGTTTGAATCTTAGTAAGAAGGCACACAAGGACGTTATCCTCTAACTTGTGCGGTTAAAAATCTTGGCACCGAGAGAATTATTTACTTAAGAGGAACTTTTCTAGAATAAAAACAATTGATTTCCTGTCTGGTATATTTGCCTCTCTTTGAGGTAAAAAACTTTTCAATAAGAAAAATTTTAACTGCATAGAATGTTAAAAGTTATAAGGCACGAGAAAAGTCAAAATTTATTCATGACAACTTTCATTTCCATTGGGGGCATTTTCAATTTCATCATGTATATAAACGTGTAATAATTATAACGTTCCGGTCATCTAAAATATAAATGCTAAAATAAATAAAAAAAAAAACCCTCAACTTTTTGATTGATCTATTTTTTGTCAAAACTGATTTGATCCATTGCATGTTTGACATTTTTCAAAATTTCTAAGCGCTTCCGTGTCCCTGGCAATAAGCCTCTCATAATTGTAGATGCTTTCTGTTTCTGTTTGTTTTGTTTTGTTTTCAAAATGAACAACCTGAGTTTAATTGTAACTTATGATGTAAATCATTTTGCATGCAGGTGAAATATTATATCCGGTTTCATTATTAATGGTACAATAAATAACCAAGTTCATTGGCATCACCCGGTGCAGTCGGTGTGCAATTTATTAAAAAAAAAAAAAAAGGTAATAATCATAATTTTTACCCTTATGTTGTTTATGCAACGATGCATTTTAAAACTTTGAAATGTATGACTCCCATAATGATAGTTTTCATAATTTATTTTATCTTAACATTAAGCTGATACCGGAATTACGCCTTTAACGTTTTTTTCCAATGTAATATTATTTTTAGTGTATGCTACTGAATTTTAAAGATGGAACTATTTTTCATATTCGGAAGCTGAAAGGAAATTCTTCGGTTTGTTATGATAAGTTCCGACCGACTGCTGAAAAACCCCTACAATAATGTTACTAACATTATTACAACAATCTACTAAATCATTATCTGCCTGCACAATAATTTATATACAACCTTTGTTTAACAAACAAACAAAAAATGAAAAAATAAATAAAACAAATGCATCATAAGAATTTATTGAGAAGTCGATAATTGAAGAGCAGAATCCGATCAGCTATTCATTCAATTTATTTTCACCAGATTAACTTTTCAATTTATCATCGCTGGAATATCTATTCAAGTAGTATATAAGTAACACGTGGGAATACATTTTGCATAATTGGTATATCTTAATTGCAATGAGTATTTTTTTCCTTTCCAAACGATGCACATAACTTTTCTGAACTTTGCGCAATAACCCGTCTGTCCTTTAGGTGATCTAATCAATTTATAACATGGGATTTGTCTATTATATACCATGGAATAAAAAAGGATATCAATACACTTAATAAATGGGATGGTAATAATATTAGAATTATATGTCAGCCCAGGGCCAAAAATCGAGATCTTTTACACACTGACTAGTTTTACAATTCTGTTATTGAAATTTGAAACTATTGACATTGGTAATGTTTGTTATTCTGATAGATAATTTGACTGAGAATGTTGTTGATATATTAGCTAATTGACAAAACTCTTTGATACATGTGATAATGATACATGAAACTAGAGACAACAAATGGAAATTAATTTGTTTATTAATATGAATTTTAATACGTTTATGGCTTGCTTATTTTTTAAACAGTTTTTTTTTTCAGTTACATTTCGGGTTTGATTTGCAACTAAGATTGTTAGTTATTGAATCTACATAATTTTAACTTCATCAAACATCACTTAATTCAAGGTAGCTCTAGTTCATGTGCAGGCTATTCTTTTAAAGAGTCAATTTATTTTTTCACCCTCTCCCATTCCGCCACGTATATTTACTTGATGATGGAAGAATTTAAAAAAGAAGAACTTACTCATACATTAAAACAGTAACGACAAATTTTTAGAGAAAAACAGACGAACGAGACTTTTTATTTAACATCATGTTACAAAGTTAACATACGTGTTTACTACAGCACCAAAATTTCTACAGACCACCTACCACGAATGTAGGTTCTCATGAACTGCTTAAAACCAGCAATTTAAAGAAAGAATAATTTTTATGTACGGCATTTAACGAATTAAGGTGATTAAAGTTTAGATTAAGTCAATATAAGGTTATGAGGGTTCAAATCACAAAAATTTCGCGGGATGTTTATTTTTTTTCCCAATGAAGTATGTCGACTATTTCTGGTAAAGCTTAATCAATGAAATGTATTTTAGCTATGTTGATTACACGAATACTCCAGAGCCGTAGTACACGAATATCTGACTGTCGAGTAGTGGAATATATCATGTTTGGACTGTTTTGGGAGAAGATTTTGCTTATTATTTTCCATCAGTGTTTTCAACGGTTTTCGGTGAAAAAACTCGAAATTTATAAGGTTACAAAACGAAAATGGAATTCCAATTTTAGAATTCATGGTATTTGGTTTTTTTTATTCAAGCTACATACGTTATTACTTTCCGGGTGGGGTGCGAGGTAGCCCGGCTCGTTTAGGGATGTGAGGAGGCCTGGTTCAAATCCTAGTCGAGGGCCAGACAGTTTTTTAGTGTCTGTTTTAGGAAGTAGCACGCATATGCGGATAAGTGTGCGCTGTTCATTAAAAATACACAGAACTCTAGGCATGCAAAATTCATATGTTATCAATCTCAAAACTGTTATAGAAAGAAAATCTAAACGCCAGTGCTGCGTAAGATGAATTAGTAGTATATAATAACTTATTACCAGGAAGGATCAGAAAAATACCACAGAGCATGCAGCCCTTTGATTTAAGTTCTTACTATACACATATAGTTAAAAACAATGACACCCTTGGGGCGGGGCAAGTTTGGACCCCAGGGCTTTTATTTGTAAACACGCACTAGAAGATGTTTCATGCTTAATATCTAAACTCCAGCTATTTGGGATTTTTCAAAGAGATTTAAGTTTTTGCTATACACATATTAGAAAATCAAAATGACAACCCGGGGCGGGGCCAGTTTTGACCCAGGGGCTTTTATTTTGAACAAACTTTGTAGACACTCACTAGAATGTTTCATGCTTAATATCTTAACTCCAGCTATTTGGGTTTTTTTCAAAAAAAGATTTTTAGTTTTTAGCTATACACATATAAGGAAAGTCTATGGACCTCCCGGGGCGGGGCCAATTTTGATCCCAGGGCTTTTATTTGAAACAATCTTGGTATAACAACACATTAGAACAATGTTTCATGCTAAATATCTTAGCTCTGTTTCTTTGCCGTTCTTTAAAAAATATTTTTTAAAGTTTTTTACTATACATGCTTATAGGGCAAATCAATGACCCCCTGGGCGGGGCGCAATTTATGACCCCAGGGTTTTATTTGAACAAACTTGTAGACACACATTAGAACATGTTTCATGCTAAAATATCTAAGCTCTAGCTCTTTGGGTTTTTAAAAGAAGGTTTTTTTTAAGTTTTTAACTAGTAATGCAATAGGGAAAATCAAAGACACCTGGGTCGGGGCAATTTTGACCCCAGGGTTTGATTGTGGAACAAACTTGGTAGACACTCATTAGAGATGTTTCATGCTTAATATCTAAACTCTAGCTATCCTGTTTTTTTAAAGGGTTTTTTAAAAGATTTTTTTTTAAAAGTTTTTGCTATACACAAATAAAGAAAATCAATGACCCCCTTGGACGGGGCCAATTTTGACCCCATGGGTTTTATTTGAAAAAACTTGGTAGACACACATTAGAACATGTTTCATGCTAAATATCTTAGCTCTAGCTTTTTGAGTTCTTTAAAAGAAGATTTTTTAAGTTTTTACCATATGCATTTAGGGAAAATCAATGACCCTCGGGGCGGGGCCAATTTTTGACCCTAGGGGCTTTTATTTGAAACAAACTTGCGTAGACACTCAATTAGAAGATGTTTCCATGACTTAATATCTAAACTCAGCTATTTGGGTTTTTTCAAAGAAGATTTTTTAAGTTTTTGCTATATACACATATAAGGAAAATCAATGACCACCCGGCGGGGGCCAATTTTCTGACCCAGGGCTTTTATTTGAACAAACTTTGTAGACACTACTAGAAGATGTTTTCATGCTTTAATTCTAAACTCCAGCTTTTGGGGATTTTGTTCAAAAGAAAATTTTTAAGTTTTTGCTATACACATATAAGGAAAATCTATGACCCTGGGTGGGGCCAATTTTGACCCCAAGCTTTTATTTGAAACAAACTTGGTAGAACACCATTAGAACATGTTTCATGCGTAAATATCTTAGCCTCTAGCTCTTTGAGTTCTTTAAAAGAAAATTTAAGTTTTTACTATTGCGATATGAGGGAAAAATCAATGACCCCCTGGGAGGGGCGCCAATTTTGACCCCAGGGCTTTGATTTGAACAAACTTGGTAGACACTCATTAGAAGATGTTTCATACCAAATATCTAAGCTCTAGCTATTAGGGTTTTTAAAAGAAGATTTTTTTAGGGTTTTCCTATTGTTTGCCATGGCAACCAGAGTTTTTATTGGATTTTTTTTAACAAGTTTGAAAGGGGTCCACCTAAGGATCATTTCTGTAAAGTTTGGTTGCAATTGGCCATGTGGTTTAGGAGGAGATGTTGTTTGAAAAGTTTGACGCCATTTTTTGAAGGACGTACGACGCACGGACCCACGACGGACACAGAGCGATGACAAAAGCTCACCATTGAGCACTTTGTGCATCAGGTGAGCTAAAAAAACAATAAGAATTATTAGAAGCTTGCAATACAGTAATATCGACAATTACAGTGATTGCCAGTAAAATGGGCTTTTAATCACAATAATCGTATACATGGATTAGGATAGGCTCGCTATAAAATGATACAGTAATTTCGTTTCTACACAATGAATATCGACTGTAATTACCTGTTTTCCAATTTGTAAAGTATTGAACAATTATTTGCTTAAAGTGATATAAAAGTTTCAATGACTAGGAAAACATGTACGATTAAACCAACGGAAAAAATACAGACAGGAAATAAAAACTCAAATATTGGAAAAAAATCAATCAATCAGTCAGTAAATCAATCAATCAGTCATTCAATCAATCAACAAATCAATCAGTCAATGAGATAAGTAAATTATTTATACAGACGGGAAAAAATGGAAAAATTCATCAACAAATCAATCAGTCAATCAATCAATCAACAAATCAGTCAATCAATCAACAAATCAGTCAATCAATCAATGAAAAATAAATTGCAACGGTGCGACTTGATATATAACATAACACTAAAGACGAAGGTACACAAGAAAAAGAAATACGAGTCTGTCTGTTAAAATTGGCAAAACTTTCTGAGTTCCTAACATAAAAAAATATGTATCTTCACTTATTAAATTACGTCGCCACGCTACGTGAATTTATTGCGAAGATCGAAATATTTGATACTCGCGTAAATAGAGTTAATAATCTCATTGTCGTTGTGATAAGTTTTCATTACAAAAATAACGAAAATAGGAAAGCTAAAGGAATAGAGGGTTAGGCAAATTTTTTTGTGATTTAACATATTCTAGAGAATACTGCGGATGATTTGTAACATACATTTTAATAGGACATCGGTGACAAAAAATATCACCCATATACATTCAAGGCAGCTGCAAATTTATAAATTTTGATCTTTTTACACTTGTAAAGCTTCAGACTTCGAAGTTAAAAAAAAACATGTCCAGGCCTTAAAGTTTAAGTAATTCATCACCTTGAGATCTGTCGTGTTAAGAATACAAATAAACTAATTTAAAATTTGTTTACGTTATTGTCACAGTCGACTGAACAGATGCGAGGGAGGTGAAAACAACGCGATTAATTTATAAGATCTCTCTTTAGTTGAAAATGTACGTTAAACATCCTCGATTTTGTTATTTTTTACACAATATGTTTTGGAGTATGTGCATTTTATTTTCGTCACTACACGTGATAGATGGATTTGAATTGACTGTGTTACACACAAATGACGTTCATGCTAGATTTGAACAGTTTAACAAATACGGATCTGATTGTTCTGAAAACGATGCGAGAGATGGGAAATGTTTTGGTGGCATCTCAAGGAGGTCTACGAAAATTCGTGAAATACGTGCAAGTCATGACAACGTGTTGCTTCTTGATGCCGGTGACCAGTTTATGGGAACAACTTGGTTTAATGTTTATTCCGGAATGGCTACATCATTTTTCATGTATGAATTGGAATATGATGCAATGGTTTGTTAATGTGAATATACTACTTTTATATTACATATGAACATTTTTTTATAATTCGCCGGTCATGCAAACCAAAATGTCACCGGTGCCTCAAAGGGTAAAAGAATGGACAATATTTTATAATATGATAAACAGGAACATATTCGACTATTCGCTGAAAAGGAACAGCTATTGTATATTCACCTGGCTTTGGTGTCGCCGTCACATTTTGCTTAACTTTTTGCGTTGGTATCCTTAAAACTACTGAAGAGAATATAGGCTGGAATTTCACACACTTGTTTTCTGTTATTATCTAGCATGATGGGCAAAAGTCCTAAAAGTATGAGTTACCTTTCTACAGAGTATGTTCTTTTCTATGATAAAGTTTGAGTGCGCTTTCTGACGAACAGTTCTTGTTTTTTATTATCATTATTCCAATAAGTATGTTATTAATCTTTACATTAACAGTGTCTTGGGAATCATGAATTTGATCTCGGGGTTGGACCGCTCGTAACGTTTTTAGACAACGTCACGTTCCCTGTATTAAGCGTCAACACTGATATAACCAACGAGTCTCGTCTAGATGGGAAGTTTTTAAAGTCTGTTGAAAAGTCAGTTGGTGGGGAAACAATTGGAATTATAGGATACACCACACCTGAAACACCACAAATTTCTAAACCAGGTTAGTTTATCGAATCTTTATAATTTGGTAAAAGTTCCTTACATATCCAATGAATGACAAATGTTTGTAAAAGACACGATTGACACAAACCTTTATATTCCGTGAACAAAGGCAGGATTTTCATGCGACAATCCGATTATCGGACACAATTTCAGATCACTTTTACTTTGCGAGGTATTCCAAATTAACATCTGCATTGATAGTCCGTTGCATGTACTAAACAGAACGGACCTTGCAGCGTTTACAACGCAATCGGCTCATCGGATGGCTTAAGTGAAAACTTTATATAATAAAATTCATTTCTAAAAAAAAAGATATTGAACTGGTCAAAATCAACCCAATTATCTATGAAGAAAATAAACATTTTTTTTCAAATGTTGAAAGAATATATTTTATTGTTTATAGTGTCTGTTAAAACTTTGTTAAAAGTTGTGTTGTAATAAGCATTTCATCCCATTGACATGTAAAATAGTTCAGTGCGTTTTTATTGCCCCTGCCCACTTAAAGGAATGGGCATGTAAATGTGTCCTGTCTGTCCCGCTGTTACCCTGTCCGCGTCCAGATTTGAGGACATCTTTATTTTTCTATATACATGGTAGATCTCTTGCCCTTTTGCTCCACTACTTTCAAAAAAAAAGAAAAAAAGAGTTAAGTACAAAATTTAAGAAATCCACGAGAAGTAGTTTATTTTGCATGAAATACTTGTTTTTGTTACGGGTTGATATTTTTCTTATACACTTTTCCAAGAAATCCGATGCGTAAAGCGTTTGATATTTAACAAATCGTCGTTCAATTCTTCGGGGGAAAAGTTCTCCCAGGTTTAATATAATTTACTTTTTGTGACAGCTTAGATCATTTGAAGCTTTAAACAATCCTGCATGGAACTACATTTTTGTTTTTCGAAAAAATAAACTTAAATGAGTGACAAAACAAAAACACAAACAATACTTTACAATTAGCCGTTTAATCGGCCTTCCGCTCTATCTCGGAAATGCCGTTCGCTCGTTTTTCCGTACACCACTCATGTGAAGTGGAGTAACAGTTTGCCGGGCGTGAAAATGACAAGAAAATATGTTAAGACAGAAGAATCTCTTTGACTTCTTTTCGTTTCTTTAACAAAACATCGCTGAAGCATAATATGAAATATGTACCGTGCCAGCTAATCATTTGATAGAAACGTGTACTGTATTATTATTCTATTTTGTAGGACCAACTGTCAGATTTAATGATATTCTTAGAACGGTACGTGACGAAGTGCACGCGCTTGAAGCAAAGGGAATAAACAAGATAATTGCTTTAGGACATGCTGGTTTTGACATGGACAAACAGGTGGCGGGTATAGACGGCATTGACCTTGTGATCGGAGGTCATACCAACACATTTTTATACAATGGTATGATTTACTTTGTATATTATTTCATTTTCTTTGATTCAGAAATGAACTGCTGAAGTCATATAGTTCTAAATTTTAAGTAAAAATAATGTTCGTTTTGAACATTAATTTAGCTAAAATGAAGCTAAGAAATATAAATTGAACTTACTTCTCTTCAATATATTTCTTTTCTATAAATTCACAACTCTAATGAAATTAGAATTTTCTGTTCACAACTTCCTACGTAGAAATTAGAACTGTCTGACCTCATCTCTAATCATAGAAATTAGAATTCCAAACATAAAAGTTACGACGGGATGATCACAAGTCGAACCATTGTAATAAAACAATCTTTTCACATCAGACACCATAAAAGATTGAAAAGGCTGTCTCATAAACACAAAGAAAGTACAATTGATATTCAGATAATATTTATTACAAATATAGACACGCACATGAAGAATAAAAAAATACTATCAAGATTCCAGTAGTTAATGAATCAAGTTGAAAATGTGTCAGATTTAAATCGTATACATACACATGCACAATGCGTCAACTAAAGTGCAGGCATTAGTTACACGCCTATTGGTTAGTTAATTTTTTCTGGAGTTTATTA